AACTTTTTTTGGTCATTTTTTTTGAGTGTTTTCATTTGATTTGATTACGTTTGGGGTATTTGTTATTTTTCGTCGAAAATCCCCCTGCAGGGGGACACGCCCGACTTAACCCTATGGGAAGCTGGGTCGCCCACGGGGGCGCGAAGGAAGTCGCGCGCCTCGCGCCGAGTTTGCTGGGCTCGAAAGCCGCTCCTCGAGGACCCCGCCTCGAGGACCTCGCGGGGCGCGGAGGCGGGTGGCCGCGGGAGGCGGGCCCAGCTCCTCGCGCCCTGGCTCGGCAGTGTTGAGGGCGCTGCTGCTGGTGATGGAGCTCCGACAGGGATGGTGGTGGTGGCGGTGGCGATGTTCGGAGGTGGATGGACCTCCTACCCTGACACGTCGATCAAGGAATTGGCCGTTTTCGGTTCGCGAGAGGGCGTCGCGGCCGTGATTTTTGCGGGTCCAGGTCCGTCGGTTTCGGTCCCGGGCCGTTTTCACTTAGGGGAGGTTTATTAAAGGGAGGTTTGTCCACCGCAGAGATGTTGGCGACGATGATGCTGCTGACGAGGAGGGGGGTGATGATGGTGCCGCTGATGGCGATGGTGATGATGGTGGTGGTGATGCTGGTCATGATGATGATGATGATGATGATGATCATCATCATCATCATCATCATCATGATCATGATCATGATGATGATGCTGCCGATGATGCTGCCGATGATGATGATGATGATGATGATGATGATGGTGGTGGTGATGATGATGATGATGATGACGATGATGATGATGATGATGATGATAATGGTGGTGGTGGTGGTGATGGTGGTGGTGGTGATGGTGATGATGATGGCGATTGCGCTGCTGTCGATGATGATGCTCATAGTAATAATAGTGATGGTGATGGTGGTGGTGATGATGATGGTGATGGTGATGGTGATGATTATGCTGATGATGATGATGATGATGATGATGAGAATGATGATGATGGTGATGGTGCTGGTGGTGTTGTCGATGATGATGCTGATGGTGATGACGATGGTGATACTGATGATGACGACGATTTTGATGCATCTGATGTGATACTGATGATGATCACAATTTTGAAGCATATGGTGATGATGCTGATGCTGCTGACGCTGATGATGCTTCTGACGATGATGCTGATGATGCAGATGATGATGGTTATGATGATAATGGTGATGATGAGGGGCAGCGGTAGGGGGACGAAGATGATGATGATGATGATGATGATGATGATGATGATGATGATGATGATGATCGGACAGGCACCGAACTACACTTTGGGCGAGTGGATTAGCTTCTTGCGCGGATCCCGAAATTCCAAACTTACTTTTGCGACATCGTCTTACGTATTTGTTCGCCCGCCATTCGAGGGGGCCGATCGCGCCTGTTGGATTTGCCGGGGCCTCGGCGTCGCTTGCCAGTGTCAGTCCGGAATCAAGGCTTGCGCCTCACGAATGGATTGGAAGATGAGCGCAAGGTGAGTTTTTCAGCTGCGGGGGGGCGCGGGCATTTGCCGCCGCGCACGGGCCAGGGGCAACTAGGAAACGCTCAGGGAAATAGAGGGCGGCAGGTCGAGGAAGAACGGGGAGGGGGAGGACAAAGCAGCGGGCGGGAATGGGGGACATAGTGACCGGGCGAGATACCCTGATAGGGGGAGCGACGTGGGCGGAGGCCGCAGTTGGAATTCTTCCTGATAGCCCCGGGACGTTCAGACACCTCCGCCCGGAGGCCGGCAGGGGGTTCAGCGGCCCTTGCCTTCCTGATTCTGCGGGCGGGGCGCGACGACGTACCCGACGTGTACCCCGCCCCTTTCGCTAGGTGCCGGTCTGTACGTGCTCGCCCCGCGCGAGACATCCAGCGCTTTCAGAACTACACTTAGCCAGGCACTAGGTGTAGTTCTGTACGTGGTGGTTTCGCCGGAGACATCCCCACAAAACGGAGCACTTATAGAACTACACCTAGCCAGCGGGGCGGGGTGCATGTCGGGTGCCTTCGCTCGCGCCCCCACCGTGTACCGCGCCCTGGCCGCTAAGTGCCGTTTTGTACGTGTCCATTCTTTGCGAAGCATCGGCTGCCCGCGCTGCCCATCGCCGAGGCCCCGCCCCCTGGGCCGCTCCCCGCCGACATCCCGCATCCCCTGGCTCAGCGAAGCCAGCCGTATGCCTGGAGGCCTCGACCTCGCGCAGCCCGCTTCCCTCCCCCGCCTGTGCCCCAGCAGCAAATTCGCGATCCGGTCCCCCGCGCTTTCAAATTCTCCTTCGTGCCGGATTCCCCGTCCGAGGGTGAGCGATTTTCCGTGTTATGATTTTACTCGTGGCTGCCGCCAAGCCTCGCCGTGAAACGTGGTGATCGCTTCCACGCTTGGCGCGCAACGTCGTCGGCGCGACCATCGCCTTCCATCGTAGGTCGTGGGGCGGCGTCCGTCCACCCGAACCGACCGACGCGCCAAATCGAATTGCTGAGTGTAGTTGTACAAGGTGTAGTTTTGCTGTGTGTAGTTGTACATGTGTTCGAGATGATGATGATGTTGTTGATGATGATAATGATGTTGAGGTGGAGGAGGAGCAGGATGAGGATGATGAGGATGATGATTCGGATGATAAGGATTATTCTGACCACGTGATGATGCTGATGGTGATGATGATGATGATAAGGATGAGTATGACGACGATTATGATGATGATGATGATGTCGACGATGATGATGATGATGCTGATGCTGATGCCGATGATGATGATATTGATGGTGGTGGTGATGGTGGTGGTGGTCTTGATGATGATGATGATGATGATGATGATGATGATGATGATGATGTTGCTGCTGCTGATGATGATGATGATGTTGGGCGATGGTAATGTTGTCATGGGTCTTCGTTCCCTGGCCATCCAGTAGGCCGCGCTCGCGCTGCTTGAGATGTTGTGGCGTCCGCCGGGGCGCGCCGCAGCCGGCCGCAGCTCGAGGGGTCGCCCGCCGGTGGGCGGGGCGCCCGGCCGATGCGATGAGCAGATAGGCGGCCGCTGCCGCCGCCGCCGACGCCGACGCCGCCGCCGCCGCCGACGCCGCCGACGCCGCCGCCGACGACGACGACGACGACGACGACGCCGACGACGACGACTACGACAAGGACGACGACCACGACGACGACGCGGTTTCTTGGGTCGATGGTGACAGATCCTGCCCACCGCGGGTCCGCGGTGGGCGCCCGCCGCGGGCACCCGGCAGCCAGGACGCCCGGCACCCGAGGCTCGTCGGCTTCTTCTTGGGCACGCCGCGGCGGCACAGCTCGTGGCGTCAGCGTGGGCGGTCTGCTGCGCGCCTGCTTCGGCGCGCACGAAGAGGCCGCGAGGCGGTGGCAGAGAGAGCGCGCCTCCACCACGCGGCCAGCAGCACGCCCACCCCGCAGTCCAGGCCTCGAGGCCCGTCGGCTTCGAGGCTCCCCGAGCGAGATGGCTGCTGAGGTGTCTGCTGCTGTGGCCGGCCTCACCTTGGGCCTTCCGCGGACTTCAGGGCTGTTGGACAACGGCCCGGCCCAGCAGGAGGAAGCGGTCCTGGGTGGGATCCTCGGGGGACGAACAGTGACAGGACATCAGAACATTAAGGTCCGCGCGAGTTTCTCGGACAACAATGACAGAACATAACGATGCGACAGAACATACGGACAAAACAAACAATGACGGAACAAACAATGACGGAACAAACAATGACGGAACATCAGGAAATCAAGGTCCAACAATGACAGAACATAAGAATGACAGAACATAAGAACGAACAGTGACAGAACATAAGACATAACAAATAATGACGGAACAAACAATGACGGAACATAAGAAAACCAAGGCCCGCGCGTATGCCTGGGATCGGCGCCTGGGCGCCCCTTGGCGCGCCACCGGCGCCGCTCCTGGCGCGCGGAGCGCGCCAGGGAGGGGGGCCCAGCGCCGATCCGAGGAATCCGCGCGGACGTCCGCTTGTTTCTGCTTGTGTCATTGGTTGTCCCTCTATATCCCGTGGTCCAGCACTTGTTTTCCTGCACGCACGAAATGGGTACTGAAAGAATGGGTACAATGCCCAACAGCGGATCTTGTTCATTTTGAACAGGGCTCGCTGTCCACGCCGCCGCGGCCTGTGTCCATTCGAGACAGTTGGCCGCCTGCCCAACAGCGGCCGCTGTTGGTTTGGGACAACATTTGCTGGTGGGCATTGTACCCATGTTTTCGGTACCCATTTCGGGCGTCCAAAGTTTCCCTCAGGACCCGCCTCTTTCGTGCCAAAAAGTATCGATGCAGGATAGGCTCAGGAGGGAATGCATCCACTCCCAATCGCTCGTTCATCGCCGATCGGGGGCTTGATAGCCCTCCGCGCGAAGGCGTGCGGCTTCGCTATCTGGGGCCTATCGGCGATGTATCGCCGATGTCAGGTCGATGTTTCCCTCTGTTCTTGGTCCATCTCCACAAAGCCAGCTTGGACGCCAGCAGCGAGAGGCCTTTGGTGCAATCGCTGTTCCTGCGAGACATGAAGCGCGCGTGGGCAAAATGGGAGTCCGTAGCCTTTGGCTCAGAGCCGGGCGATGGGCTCAAAGCAGCGCCAACAGCCCCTCTAGCCACTAAGTAAGCGCCCTGAGATCCGACGTCGTGAAAGAAAGGCAACTTCGCGGAGATCACGATCGGAATCCCAGACCTAGACCCCATCTTTCTGCTGCTGTACAGTGGAGACCCATGCCAAGAAGCACCCTGCTTGCATCCAGGGTGCCGTGGGTTTCTTGGTCTTCGATGCTTCTGCGCTGGAGAGCGTGACGCTCCCACACCACAAGTCGATGGACGTCCTGGGGTCTCAGGGCTGGGTTTCTCGTGGAAGGTTCCTTGTAGATGGGCCTCCACTGTTTTCGAGCTGGATCTCTCTGTGCTGGCCCCGCGGGCCGAGGCCCGGGCGAGCACGCCCGGCGCGAGAAGCGAAACCGCAGCGTTTGGATTTGAGGGCGTGGCCCGCCCGTCCGCCCGGATGAGGTCGGCTGGCAGCCCCCGGTCGGGCCCCGCCGGCGCGTCCCAGGCGCAGAGGACCGGATCCAGGCAGGAAGAACCACCCGGGTTGGACAAGGTGCGTTTACGAAACGGCCCTGGGCGTTTACTGGACAAGCCTGCCCTGTTCGGTTCCTTCGGTAGGGGCGTTTAGTAAACGGCTTCGCGTGTCGGGATGGTTATTCCGGGGTGTCTTTTGTTGCCCTCTATCGGACGGGTTCGGTAGCAAATCATGGGAGCCTTGCGTACCCTCGCAATTCTGTCTTTAGCGTCGGCCAGCGTCGGTTGGCGTCAGGGAGTCGATGCGAAGACACCGATTTAGCATCGATCAGCGTCGTTCAGCGTCGATTTAGCGTCGACTAGCGTCGATGAGCGTCGATTTAGCGTCGATTCGCAAGAGCCGACAAGATGGTATGGGAGGCTCCCATGAGTTGCCACCGGAAAATCAAATGGCAGCCCCCGGTCGGACTCTGCTTGCACGTCCCAGGCGCAGGAAACGGACGGGGCCTGGACGAGGATGAGTCGAAGAATACGCCATAAACATAAACTTTTGACGCTCCGCGCGGAATTCTTGGATCCGCCGCGGGTTCCCCTGGCGGCGCCTCCGGCGCCGCCCCTGGCGCGCTCCGCGCGCCAGGGGGGTCCCGCGCGGAGCGCCAGCAGGTTATGTCCATGTGGTTTTCTCTTGTTCTAACCAGCCCGGTCCGGAGCGTTGCGGAACGCTCCGAGAAGGCCGCAGCGCCCGAGGCATCCTCCTGAGCAGCCGACTGTAAGAGATTCGCGATCCATCCTCGCCCGAAGTTTGTTCTCGCCCAGACCCATTCACCAGGAGATTTTTTGGGGCTTGGATCCATTTTTCATGGCCCCGGGGGCCAGATGTTTTATTTGTTATTTCATTTCACATGTTTCATTTTGGGGCTGGAGTCATTTTCCTCTTTTTCTTTTTTCCTCTTTTCCGTGCCCCGGATCTTTTGTTTCCATTGCTTTGGGGTCCGAAGGCCAGGACCTCTCGCCTTTTTTCCTCCCCGAGCTTGTCCTCGCCCGGGCTGAAGTCATTTTCCTCTTTTTCTTCCTCTTCTCCGTGCCCCGGATCTCTTGTCTCCATTGTTTTTTGGGGTCCAGAAGCCAGGACCTCTCGCTTTTTTCCTCCCCGAGTTTGGCCTCGCCCGGGCCCCGTCTCCGAGGACGCCGCCCTCCGACGCGGACCCGCTGCTCGGCGCCGTGCGCGCGGCCGTGCGCGCGGAGCTGCTGGACCTCGTGGCGGAGGGCGGGCACGTGCGGTTGTACGGGGCGTGAAGATGACCACGGCCACGCGGGCCTAGAGTTTGACCCCAACACCAAGATCGGCGGTGTGCCTCCACCGAGGGAAGACGATCCCGATCTCGGTGATGGTGGTAATATTCTGGCTGCCAAGGTGACCGAAATATTACCACCAGCACCGAAATCTAGGATCGTCTTCCCCCTGTGGAGACAACCCCTTGTGTTGGTGTTGGTGCCAATTTCTAGGCCTCCAACAGCCACTGCTTTTCTTGTGTTGCCGCCTTCCAGCCCGCAGAAACAAGAAGCAGTGGCTGACGTCATTCTCGTTGAACTTTGGCACCAGGGAAAGGACCACAGCCACTGCTTCTCTTCTTCGGCCGGCTGGAAGGCGGCGCAAACAAGAAGCAGTGGTTGTGGTCATTTTCTCGTTGAACTTGGCACCGGGGAAAAAGGACCACAACCCCAGGGCCCCGACGTCATGATTTTTTCATGACGCGACCCCCAGAGGTCCAGACCCATTCCCCGGGACCGGTTTTTCGTCCCGAGTCGTTTTTTGACGGTCCCGAGGCCCGGCAAGGGCCCTCAGAGGCGGACAATTGCGAATAACCTCCCGTCGTGATTTTTTCGCGACGCGAGGAGGTCTTGGACCACTGCTTCTTCTTCGGCCGGCTGGCAGGCGGCGCAAAGAAGGAGCAGTGGCCGCGGGCCTTGTCCCCGCCCCGCAGGCTGGCCCTGCGGAGCGAGCTGGAGGCCGCCCTTGGGAGCGGCTGCAGCCCCCTGAGGGCCAG